GGAATGCATTAGCATATTAGGCCACACCCTGACATCATAGCTCATTAGCATATTAGGCCACACCCCATGCCTTCCCTTGGCTTGCCTGGGCGCCCCACGGCTGCAGGGAACCCAGGCAAGCCGGCCCTTCGACAGGCCAGGGAAGGCACGAGAGGCATTTAATTGCCTCCCCGATCCTTCCAGGGGGCCCCCTGGCCCACCTGCCTCGGAGTTGCTGGGGGGTTCGCTCTCCAGGCCTTCCCTCTGTAGCCACGCACACAAAGGTTTTGGCTGTAGTGGGCGTGGCCAACTCTGAAGCCAGACGGAACTCCGTTCCTGTGCGTTCCTGCCCCAAAATAGCCCTGGCAGGGATGAATCCTTAGGGGACATCAGGCCCTCTACTGTGGAGCCAGGGACCTTCCTCATCACGTTCATTCGGGCAGCGGATGATTGAAGGACCCAGGTAAAGCCCTGCAGCACCTCTTTTTTCCTGCTTGACTTTCCACTCTGGAAGATGCCAGCTGCCCTCAGGAATAGGGCATCTGCTGATACTTTAGAAACACTCACCTTGGATAATAACAAACAGCTCACAACATTGAGTTGCATGAGGTTTTCAAAGTCATGGACAGTCACGTCATCTGATGATTCTATATAAGCTGTTTGCACGAGGACAGAAAAGGGAAAGGGGGTTTCACGGAGGCAAGAGCCACAAAGAGACAGAAAACAGATCCACGCCTGCCCACCCCCGCAATGTGCTGATGGATTTCATCTTTGCTTTCCCCCCCCCTTTAAAGTAATACTCATTTGAGTAAAACTACAAGCGAAGCATAATAATCAGATCTTATCGACGTAAGAGTAGCCCTACTGGATCTGACCGGTAGTCCAGCAGACCCTGTAACTCTGTGGAAGACCCCCTGCTCCAGAAGGCCAAAGCCTCTCCCTGCTTCTGCACTTGGGTTGCCAACCAGGCTACGGATATCAGGTCCCCTGGGGAAAACAGGAGGAGTAGGAGGAGGGCTCTATACCCCACTTTTCTCTACCTTAAGAAGTCTCAAAATGGCTTACAATCACCTTCCCTTCTTCTCCCCACAACAGGCACCCTGTGAGGTAGGTGGGGTTGAGAGAACTGTGACTGGCCCAAGGTCACCCAGCAGGGTTCATGTGGAGGAGGGGGAGAATCAAACTCCACTCTCCAGATTACAGTCCACCGCTTCTAACCTCTGTACCACACTGTGTTTCATGGCATTATACCCCTCCCTCCTTCCCCAAGCCCCCCTCCCCTGGCTCCACCCCTAAACATCCAGGAATTCCCCAGTCCAGAGTTGACAACCCAATAGAGACTCTGAATATGGAGGTTTCATTTACCATCGTAGCTATTTGGCATTTAGAATCATAGAATCATAGAGTTGGGAGAACACTCCAGGGTCATCTAGTCCAACCCCCTGCACAACGCAGGAAATTCACAAATACCTCCTCCACACACACATCCAGTGACCCCTGCCCCATGCCCAGAAGATGGCAAATACAACCCTCCTTGAACCCTGGCAGAATTGGCCTGGAGAAAAATTGCTTCTGAACCCCAAAGTGCCAATGAGCACCTCTCTGCGGTAGTGGTCAGATGGTGTGATTATAGCGCTGTTGACATGCCTCAAATATTAGAAGGAGGATGGAGTTATACCCCGTCCTTCACTACCCAATGGTGTCTCACAGCGGCTTACAAACTCCTTTCCCTTCCCCTCCCCACAACAGATACCCTGTGAGGTAGGCGGGGCTGAGAGAGCTCTGACAGAAAATGCTCTTTTTTCAAGAACAGCTCTTATCAGAACTGCGGCTTGCCCAAGGTCATCCAGCCAGGTGCAAGTGGAGGAGTGGGGAATCAAACCCGGTTCTCCCAGATTAGAGTCCGCGCACTTAACCACTACACCAAACTGGCTTATTTATTCCGCAGTGACACAATCAGACACCCAGTGCTCACCCCGCAGTCTGCCCTCCAGACACTCGCCAGCACATGAGGTTCTTTTAAAAAAAACCCTCACTTGCGCATGAGCATAAGTGTTTATTCATTGACTTCCCTGTCCGCACACTGATGTGGTGTGTGAATGCATTTGTGCGCCTGTGCGCATATGTGCCTATGCACATATTGCTAACTGCTTTTTAAAAAATGGTGCCATAAGTGAACCCCCGGCGAGGGGGAAATGCACAGTGATAACAATAGCTTCCACACCATTGCAACCATTCCTGCCCTCCCTCTCACCATCTGCCTAAGTTCACAGAATCAGCATTGCTCCTCTCATGATCTGTCTAAGTTCACAGAATCCACATTTGCTGTCAAATGGCCATCTAGCCTCTGTTTGAAAACCTCCAAAAAAGGAGAGCCCACCACCTCCTGAGGAAGCCTGTCCCATTCAGGAACCGCTGTGTCAGGAAGTTCTTCCTAATGCTGAGCAAAAAACTCTTTTGATTTAATTTCAACCCATTCATTCTGGTCTGACCCATCCTCCATGAATCTATGTAAACCTCCAACTAAAGTAGAGGCCATCACTGTATCCTCAAACAGCAAACTCCAAATGTTGATTCCTTTTTAAATGAAGAAGCACTTCTGTAATGATTTCACCTTTTGGTGTGTGTGTGTTTCTTTAAATGTTTGGTTTGACTGCATGTAAGGAGACAGTCATGCAAGGAGAGTGGTAGAGGGAGATGAGTGTGATGTGATTGGCTGATGACTGAAAGTGTGGGTGGAGGGGTGTCTCTGAGGTGATTTTTTGTTTTTGGTGAGATGAGTGTGGAGAGTGGCTGTTTTTAGCTTGTATGGCAGAAGAAGCAGTTTGAGTCTATCCTGTATGGCTAAGACAAACTGTTTAGCTTGTGTGGCTAAGACAAACAGTTTAGCCTGTGTGGCTAAGAGAGTCAGAGTTTAGCCTCTGTGGCTAAGTCTGTCAGAGTTGAGTTTTGGTGTTTTGAGGGACAGTGTGTAACGCCAAGCTTTATCAGTAATATTTATAAGTTCCTTTCTTCAACAACAGTTCAGAAATACCCAGAAACCTATTTTGTTCTTTTATAAATATATCATTATTTGTTTAAACTTATCCCAGCAGTCAGAACAGCCCTTCCTCAGGGCCACATAGTCCTCTGAAGTGACCAGACACAGGGTCATTCTACCATAATTGAGAGATTTGGAATTTTTAATTCCTGGTGGCAGCAGTAATCTACTAAATTTAAAGGAAAGTCTCCCCATTATGGAGGATGTCACAATTTCCTTTAGAAGCAGTTAGTGTGAGAGAC